TTTTTTAAATTCTATGTGAATGTTGTCAATGGCTTATAACCTAAATAGCAAAATTATTTGACTAATTATTTGTGGTAATTATTTTATGTTATTTTCGAAATTATTTTATATATTAAGTTAACTTATATATGATGTTTTATTTTTGTAAGTTTTACATATTTGATATTGATTTATATTTTATTTTGAAATTAATAATTTTCTTAATATTGACTTTTACAGAAATAGTAAAGTTAATATAATTTGTTATTTTAATTAATTTCGAAAATCTATAAATGTTAAAATTAACTTATATATAATATTTTAATTGTTTGAGTTTCCCTTATATATATTTATTATTACTACTATTTTTTAGTAACATTAACATTTTTAAAAATAACAAATCAAAAAACTTATGTATCATGATATGATCGGAAGACTTAAATCCTATGTGGTCATTATAGTTATATTGAATTTTTCAGAAATATTAAAATTAAGATAACTTGTTATTTTAATGTTAAAATGAAATTATATATAATGTTTTAATTTTTTAAGTTTCCCTTATACATATTTTTTAGAAACATTAACATTTTTTAAATAACAAATCAAAAAACTTATGTGTCATGATATGATTGGAGGACTTAAATTCTATGTGGACGTCTCCATAGCTTATAGCCTTAACTTTTATATAATATAGATAATATCTAAATAAATTTATTCATACCGATCAATAAGTAATAACTCGAAACTCATTAGCAAATTAGCCTTATAGATATTACGTGCTTCCCAAAAGTGAATCATTCTAGCAAGAACTTCATTCTTATTAAAACATTTTCTAAGATCCTCGAAAACCAATAAAGAAGTCAAAACAACCATTGTATCAATATATCGTTTCTCTTTCCAATATCTCTCTGTTTCTCAACATATATTTTGAAAACTTTTAGAACTTTAACAGTTATTTATAGTCACCCAATACTTCATATATTATAAAATTTCTTATTTTATTTTATGTTAATATACAGACATTTGAAAATCCTAACATTAAAATTTGGAAAT